TGAGGTGAGCACTGCTTTGGTATTTAAGGAACTGTGCCCCCAAGAGGCTGTCACATCCTGAGAAGTAACAGGGCAGGGTCACATACCAGCCCCTGTGGTCTCATGGGCACACTGTGGCTGCTGTTGCCTCCCAGAGAGGAAGCTGAATTGGTCACTTCTGACTTCCATGTCTTACTACAGAGCTGGGGTAAAAAAAAAATGTAATCTTTGCTCTGTAGGTGTCACCTGTTATTATAAGACCTCTGGCTGACTGGAGAGATGGCTCAGTCATTAAGAGCACTGGCTGCTCTTCCGGAGGACCCAGGTTCAGTTCCCAGCACCTGCATGGCAGCTCACAACTGTGAGTACATTCAGTCCCAAAGGATTCAACGGCCTCTGCATAAGTTGCGTGCACACACATTCAGGCTGTCTTAGTTAGGGCTTCTATTGCTGTGATAAAACACTGTGATCAAAAGCGACTTGGGGAGGAACTGATGCAGAGGCCATGGAGAAGTGCTGCTTACTGACTTGCTCATCATGGCTTGCTCAGCCTGCTTTTTTATGGCACCCAGAACTGCCAGCCCAGAGGTGGCATCTCTCACAAAACACTATTCTCCCCCATCAAGCACTAATTAAGAAAATGTGCCACAGGGTCGCCTATAGACCATTCTGGTGGGAGTATTTTCTCAACTGAGGATCCTTCTCTTCCCAAATGACTCTCGCCTGTGTCAAGTTGACATAAAAGCTAGCCACCACCTCAGGCAAAACACCCACACACACAAAAAAGTTAAAATTTGAAAGAAAAGAGAGATAAGAGGGTAGGTTCGTGGCACATTGGTATGCAAAGTTCAGCACATGCGCACACACACACAATTTTTTTTAGCTGGCGAAGAAATGATTCATGCCTCTGGCCAGCAGGGGGCACTCTGGAGGCTGTGGAGGACTGACCTGCTGGCAAAGGTGATCTTGTGTGCTGTCCCGGTTGCCAAGAGATGGCCTCTGGAGCCAGCTCTGGTTACTGCTGACAGGCCCCACAGGAGAGACTGCCTGAAGAGTCAGGCAGGTAGGAGCATGCCAGAGGAGACAAGTCCTCCCGGTGCAGGCAGTGTGGTGCTCCCCTCAGGGAACCTGGGTTACTGTTGGGGCCCGAGTCGGTACTCGGAAAATCCGGGACCCATAAACTCCCAGGGAAGGCACAGAGTACTGGGCAGTGCCTGAGCAGGGATGGGTCTGGGAGTGAACGGGTACAGGAGATGGGAGAGAGCCCTGCGCTCTACCAACGGAGCTACTCCCCAGCCTCGGTTTGTTTTCTGTCGTTCTGGGGATTACATCCAGGGCCGCTCACGTTCTAGGCAAGTGCTCTACCTCTAAGCCATATCCCCGGTCTTTTTATTTTCCACTTTGAAGCAGAGTCTATACAAGTTCTGGAGACCGGCATAGAACTCACTCTGCAGCCCAGGAGAGCCTTAGATTTCCAATCCCCCTGCCTTGGCTTCAAGAGTAACTAGAAAAGCAGGCGAATATCACCGGGCCTGGCAGATATTAAAAGATACAGAAATAGGTGATCATAATCATGGTTTTTGTTTTGGTACTGGGAATGAAATCCAACTCACCTTGAATTTAAGACCGGATGGTCTTTAAAAGCTCAGCCATGGGTCTCTAAGGAATAAAGGTTAGCACGTGACCCCTAGAGGGTGTGTTTGGCTCCACCCTCTCCATTGGGCATCAGAGTGTGTGGGTACTTCCTTGTGTCTGGTGTGTGTGGGGGACTATATCAGCCAGGATCCCTTTGCCCAGTTTTTTAGGTTCGCCTTCCGAGAGGCCTTGGCAGCGGACCCCGAAGAGCAGAGTGCCCAGATGTGCTAATGGCGTGGAAGTGCTTACTGTGGGGAAGACCTGGCCGTCGGCACCAGGAGGCTGCCGGTGGACTGAGCAAGGTGATCCGCCCGGCACTCACACCATACATGTCCAAACGCAGAGACACTTTAGGACTGTTTCCTGTAGGCCAGGCAAGGCCACCCTCCCAGGAAGGGCTGGGGAACCTGAGCTATGGCAGGCCCTGGGGTCACTTCAGGAGCGTCTGGTGGTCAGCTGATGGTCCCGGGGACCATTCATCATGCTCCCAGCCCATTCTGCTGAGCCCTGACTATTTCCAGCTGTGGACAGAGAGCTGGTTATGTAACAGGCTAGAAGCTAGAAGATGAGATGAGGGGTGTCCTGGCAGAGAGGGACCTTCCCCAGGCAGGGCAGCACCTCAAAGGTGTGGGAGGAGCTGCGGATCTAGAGGCACCACTGAGGACAGCTGCACAGCCAATCGGCCTGCTCACATGGCCCAGCCTCCCCTTCGTGAATTGGAGCCCTCAACCTCTAAGCTCTGCTTGCTCCAATCTGCCCCTGGCTCTCTGGAAGAACCCGGTGCCAGTTCCCACAGCCTTCCTCCTTCAGGGGTATGGTGTGGGCGATGGGTAGTCTGGACTCGGATACGCTGGTTCACAGTGTGTTTCCGACGAGCTTTACTATTTGAAGTGGAAGGATATATTCTTCGAGGCAGGGCTGTGAGTTAAGAGCATACTCCAGCCAGTTGCTCTGCTTGCCCCGGTGGTCTGCAACCAGTTACTTAAGCACTGCGAGCCTTACATGCCCGTGTAGAAACAGATCAGGGCTACCGCCTTCCTCCCTGAGTCATGAGGATCTGAGCAGTTTGTATGCATGAGGCAGTTAACCAGCTCCTGGCCCGAGGTCGGCCCTGTGTAAGTGTTGGCTATAATTAGACAATATTTGTGGATCGCTTTCCTCAGCCTTGGCTCCTAATAAGCTCTTGGTGAAAGGCACTGGTTATTTTTAACTTCTTTCTCCCGCACTCCCTTGGCCTTAATCCTTTCCATAAACCCACCTTCATTTAGCCTTGCGACAGTGGAAGTGTGTGTATCTTACAGTTCTCTAATGTTTATACTTGCAAAACATTTCTGTTCCGACCTCACAGCAAACCCGTGAGCTCGCAGCGCATACTAAAGCCATTGCTGTCATAGTGCAGAGCCAGGGACAGGGTGTGATCTGCCTAGAGGCATCAGCTGCTAAGGGGTGTGTCCAAGCCACCAGGCCGGGTACTCTGACCTGAGGCACCAGAGCTTGCTTCTGAGTGGTATGGCCAGGGCATGCCAGCTCCAGGCTGCCAGGACAAATTAGTTGGGGGAGAGAGGGTTCCAGTATTGGGAGCACTCATAGAGTGGGGAGAAAGAAGTCTATATAATATAATAATTATCATTCTTTCTAGTGCCTAGAGGCTTCCCAGGAGCTGTGTTGTAGTGCCCTCTACTGGCCATGAGTGGCACTGTTGACTTTTAGATGAGAGAAAGTTTATATGACTATCTATTCATAGTCATATAAACTACCCAAGGCCTATGGGGTGCCAGATCGTCTCCTAGGGACCAGAGAGATCAAACAAAGCTCCCAAAAAGCCCTGCACATGGGTCATGGGGGAGATAATTGATAAGGAGACTCAACATTGACCTCTGGTCTCCACATACACACACATGCAGGTGTACCCACAGGCATGTACACACATGAACATGCACACATACAAAGCACTGAACATGATGATATGTGCCTATAATCCTAGCACTCGAGAGGCATAAGAATCTCTGTGAGTTCAAGGCCAACTTGGTCTACATATCACATATTGATTTCTGGGCCAGCCAGAATTACACAGTAAGACAGTCTCAAAAAAAGAAGGAAGGGCTGGAGAGATGGCTCAGCGGTTAAGAGCACTGGCTGCTCTTCCAGAGGTCCTGAGTTCAATTCCCAGCAACCACATGGTGGCTCACAACCATCTGTAATGAGATCTGGTGCCCCCTTCTGACCTGCAGGTAGAACACTGTATACATTATATATATATATATATATATATATATATATATATATATATATATATATATATATATATATATATTTAAAAAAAAGAAAGAAAGGCCCTGGTCTTTCATGGAGACACATTCACATTTTGGGAAAGGAATCCAGACATAAATATATATGCCAGAATGCCATTTAATAAAAAAATTCAACAACCACAGCGGGAGAGGGAGAGCATGGGGAGTGGCCATGAGTGGTCAATGACCGAGGACGACATGGCTTATAGGAGGCAGCCGAGGATCAGGGCCTGGGTGACGTGCCACTCTCTGGACAAAGGCCACGGGGACAGAGGAAGAGTCAGAAGACGCTGCTGGGAAACCTGCGGCCAGGTGCGCTGGAGAAACAGTGTGTGCCGGGCTGGGAAGAGAGCCAGGTCGAAGAGGCGGTGGCCTCCCGCCACTTCCTTCCCTGGATGACACGTGAGGAAGCGTACCACGTGGGCTCCGAGGGCCAGGTGGCTGGAGACCAGTCCTGCTCGGGACAATGACCTGGAATGGCACAGATGGCACCGTGTGCAGGGTTTCACCTCAGCCTGTGCTGTGTGCAATCCTTCACGGCTGTGCTGAGGAAGGTCCTCGGGGCAGACATAATGATTTCACAAGGACTCGAGCCCAAGTTGGCCTGGCTTCAGCGTGCAGGCTTTAGGAAAGTGGAAGAAAAAAGACAGGACACGAAACGGCATTTAATACAAATGGCCCCACTTACCTTATTTTTGGCTTAGAAAACGGGCTGCCAGGGTTGGTGAGATGACTGGGGGGGAGGGGGGGAGGGCACTTGCCACCAAGCATGGCAACCTGAAGTTGATCCCCAGGACCCACATGGTGCAAGGAGAGACCTGACTCCCACAGGTTGTCTTCTGACCTCGACACACATGGTAAATAAGTAAGATAATAAAAATTTTTAAAGGAAACAAACTGAAGTCCATATATTCTGTGGTGGTGTGGTGAGGCCC